GCCGGATGCAGTTTTAGAATATGAGCAAATACTGCTTTAGAAAATAAAGTCGAATAAATAAAATGCATATAATGGTTTGCACAAAAAACCTTTTGTTTCCTTTCCACCAGGGACATAATGCTTTACCCATGATGGTAATGGTGGAAAGTCATCTGGAGTTTAACATATCCTGCATCTACAATCAAACACAACTTATAACCACTCAAATAAAGTTAATCTTGAGTGAAATATACACATTTAATACAATAAAATAAAAATAAAATGATGTATACATTTTGACAGTAAATATGCAGATGTATGCAGAACGCTCCGCTAATAAGGCCAAGTCCAAGTTTGATCTGTGCTGGGTTTTTGCCTTTCTAACTGATTAATATCAAGAAATATAACAGTTTCGGACCGTGTAAGACCAGCTATTTTGGTAAAATGTTTATCTGAAATGTTTGTGATTTTCGCCTTTGATTGTCTGCGCCTAATTCGACCCAGCAACATCCCGACCGGGTATAGATTTACATAATTAATATGGGAGGCAGTGTAATATGGTAGATGGAAAGGCAAAGGTGCGCTTTTGCAAAGACCAGCTGGTCCGCAGGCGCTTGGCTCCTGTAAAGGAGTTGATGCGCTGCTTGATCCCAGTGGTCAGGCTGAACATAAGAGGGCGCTCCCATTGCACCTGGCTGCGCTGCCCTATCCACCCTGCACACATGGAGAGCCGGACACCAGGCTCCCATATGTGCAACGATGTTGTGGTAAACAGTGCAGCCTCAACTGCTTAATTCTGTCGAGGATCATAAAAAACAAATTTGAAAATAAGTACAGCATATACATATTTTCAGAAAAAAATCTAATTGAGCGTTTTTTCATACCAAGATATATGCTACACGTTAATGTTATACTGATATGCTATTAATTCAAGTCATTTAAAAAAATGTTATGTGCATCATCTCTATTTCACAAAAAATCTAAAAAAAAGTCTAAACTGAGTTAAGAAGGGGTTTGCCCTGCATATAAAAATGTGGCTCCTGACTATTTTCAGCCAATCTGAGAATCTAACCTACAGACCCTACTATTTTGCTTTCATCAACATCAACACTAAAGTAAAATAACAATGTATTTTTCATTTCATCACCATTAAAATAAACACAGCGTTTTGTGTCCCACTTTGAGGTTCCAGTCTACACTATTATTTAGAAATATTTTATAGCATAATATGAATGACACCCTCCTTTTTAATATTGCAGTCTGTAAGACTTTTAAATCACCAAATACTTCGGAATGTAATGGTCGTTATCTCTTTATAAAGTTATAGGTATTTCTCATGCAGGTTTTTTTTATCTTTACTCTGTTTCCCTTTGTGCTTTGTCTGAGATTGCGAAAGCTGATAGCCTACATAAAATAACTAAACGGTTTTTTTTGTTTTGATTTTTGTATATATTTGAAGACTTAATCAAATAACTTAAAACGACATGTTATGCACACGGGTGTGCAAAACCCCATCACAAAACAACGCTCAAAACGATAATGGGCTTTGCCCTCTGTCTGAATGTTTTGTTCCTTGCAGTTCTGGTGGTGGTCAAGCTTTTTCACGTGCCTCACATCTACGCAGCATTCTGAATTTTAAGCTACTCTGCCTTTCTTTGTCATATCCACGGGCTGTCATAGCCACAGGTTGTGTTGAATTTGCAATGCCACTCATCGATGTATGCCTATTGAGGCTGGCACGTGGACAGTTATCCTTCCCACAGAGAGGCGCAATTGAACGCTGGTAACACAAAAGCTTCAGACCCTGTCAGTCCCCCCTTTTCCCCTTTCAGTGATGCATAGGCCCTAAAAGCATCAAGGCCTCCGTCTGGCTGGTGTTCTTTTGATTTAGCTCACATCGTAGCCTACTCAATATGGTCACTGAAGGAGTAATGTCAATCAGGCCTTTGCATACATTTGTAAACTGAAGTTTGCATTGTTAGGCTTTAGGCGACTGACTGGCTCAAAGCTGCCTACAAGCCTCACTATACACCATACTCTTTTATTATCTCGTAGCCCCTTTAACTCCGCTCGCACGCTATTTTCAACCTATTCATTTTTACAATCACTCCTTCCCGAGAGAGCAGACACGCACAAATCCTCGAGATTCCTATAGTCTGTTTCTCACACTGCAAAATGTGAGCTGTTCGACGGGGCAATGCATTTTTCTTGTTTTTCTGAGAGAGACATGCCACACAGCAGATGCTACATTGCTTAAAAACAGGTATCAGTGCATGCCTCGGCTTAAGGATGGCAAGTGCTGAGGAAATGCCGCACACTATATATTCTAGCAGGGAGCGATGGGGGGGGGGAGAGAGAGAG